CGGGATCCGGGCGGGCGCCGGCTCTGGAGTCGGCCTGGATCACGGTCGGGACCGGGTCGGGAGCCATACGGCGTCAGGGTCCCGATCCCGCGTCCGGGTCCTGATGGGCGGCCTGGGTCAGGCTGGGGTTCGGGCTCGGCTCGAGCTGCGGGTCCTGGCCCAGGTCAGGTTTGGGCCTTGAATCCAGCCCCGGGGCAGGGTTCAATCCGGCGCTCGGAGCATGCCAAAGTCCCAGGGGCGGGTCGGGGTGGAAGATGGGGAAGGTTCTCAGTCGGGGAAGGGGCTTCGAAGACCACGTGGGGGCGCTCGAAGGGGCCTTGGGCCACCCTCCTCTCTGGGTCAAAGGTCATCACACCGGCAGGGGAGAACTTCCTCCTTGGCTCTCCCCATTTACTTCCTGATAACCTGATAGAGGTTCCCCGCTGCGGAGGGGGAGAGGAGGCGCAGCAACTTTAGACAACTTCCCATAGGTGTGCGCAGGTCGGGGGAGGGGCGGGGCGCCCCGGGAGGTGGAGGACTCTGCGGCAGTAGGAGTGTAAGAGTGAACGTGCAGGCCGGGGTGCAGGGAGGTGGAGCCGCGCCCGCCGGTGTGGCTGGGGCTGGGCATGCTGGGGCAGGAGGGGGGCGGTGTGTCAGGTGTGAAAGACTGGATGTTTTCACAAGAGTCTGAATGTGGGGACTTGGTGAGAGTGTAAGTGTGAGTGTGTGATCATGAGCCTTGAGTGTGAGTTTGTTTATGGGGTGCACCCTTCAGGAGGACTGTGTGGCTGTGAAAGTCCCCAGCAGAGAGTGAGCATGAGTGGGCATGTGAGGACACCTGAGAACTCAGGTGAGTGGGAGCGTGTGAGGGTGTGAATGTACATGTGAGTCCATCAGCTGCCTTTGGGTCTGTGTGCCTCAGTGTGCTCTTGAATGGAGAACACCCAGATGAGACGGAGATCACTGAAGCACCCCCAACCATCTGGAGAAAATTGGGCAGTATCCTACTTCTGGCTACGGATTCCAGATGGAGTTGAAGTTTGCCCAGGGGCTAAGGTTACCCTGCTCCCTGGCCTGGGTGGGAGTAGGGGTTTTCCAAATCTCCCCCAGGTTCCCAAGTGGGAGACTTGCCATCAGTTACTGGCCTTGGAGCTCTTGGTGACTCTATTCCCATGGCAACAGCTGAGGTCCCCTCTTCATGGGCAGTCCATTCCTTGGACTCTGTCCCTCCTCCCTTCCCCTTGCTGAGCCTGGAAGCCCAGCCCCGGGCCCAGCATTGGACAACCCATGTGGCAGGATGTCTCTCCATCCCCCATTCCAGTGCCTCCTTGCGACCTGACGGGTCTCTCCCTGCAGGTGACCAGCGCCATGTCCAGCCAGGTGGTGGGCATTGAGCCTCTCTACATCAAGGCAGAGCCAGCCAGCCCCGACAGTCCAAAGGGTTCCTCGGAGACTGAGACTGAGCCCCCTGTGGCCCTGGCCCCTGGTCCAGCTCCCACCCGCTGCCTCCCAGGCCACAAGGAGGAGGAGGATGGGGAGGGGGCTGGTCCTGGCGAGCAGGGTGGTGGGAAGCTGGTGCTCAGCTCCCTGCCCAAACGCCTCTGCCTGGTCTGTGGGGACGTGGCCTCTGGCTACCACTATGGCGTGGCATCCTGCGAGGCCTGCAAAGCCTTCTTCAAGAGGACCATCCAGGGTGAGCCCCCACTGCACCCCACTCCTGTGCCCTTTGCCCTGTACCCTTTGGGGCCAGCACCACCCAGTGTTACACTGCTGCGTGCAGTAGGTCCCCAGACTGTCATGGCACTGTTTGAGGTTGGCAGTCTCATGTTTCTAGGCCCTTCTACCTCCCAGGAACTCTTTCCTTTGAAAATTAGATAAAGCCACTAGATGTATTGATAGATTGGAGTGGGATATGAGCAAGAACTCAGGATGCCTCCCGGGTTTCTGGGTACTGTAGGTCTAGCACCTTCGACGGTGGCTCTGAAAAACTCCAAGGCAGCCTCTGCCTGTTCCCAAATTTTGTTCTTACTTCTGGCAACTGCTGACCTCTCTCCAGCATAGAACAGCCCCCCTTTCTTTCTTTTTTTTTTTTTATTGGCTTTTGAGAACGACCCCCTTTTCTTGATTTCCCCAAAGCATCACTAATGCTAGGCAGGTTTTTATAGGTATGAGACCAGCTACATCATATTTTAGCGCTTGACTTTAAAAAGATTTCAGCATAGAACAGCCCCCCTTTCTTTCTTTTTTTTTTTTTAATTGGCTTTTGAGAACAACCCCCTTTTCTTGATTTCCCCAAAGCATCACTAATGCTAGGCAGGTTTTTATAGGTATGAGACCAGCTACCTCATATTTTAGCGCTTGACTTTAAAAAGATTATTAGGCATCCCTGCTTTTAAAGTCATTGTCTTTTTTGTCACTTAGGAAAGCATATCAAAATTCGAGGGAGTGAGCAAGATGCTGATGCAAGCATTTCTTGGGATGGGCCTGATATTTTTATTTTATTTTATTGCAGCTGGCTGGTATTGGGATCTGAACCCATGACCTTGGTGTTATAGGGCTGCGCTCTAACCAACTGAGCTAACCAGCCAGTCCTGGGCCTAATATTTATGTTTTCACATATCTGTCGGTTACTTTGAGTCTATAACATGTATAATTTAAAAAATGTTTGAGTGCTTACCTTGAGCCAGGCACTTCCTTAAGAAAGGTGCCCTTCTACCTTTATGATCTGTTAGCTCCCAACAGCAATGCTGGAAGGTGTCAGCACGTTTCTCATAACTAAGGCTCAGAGAGGTTTTTGAAATTTTGTTCAAGTCTCACAGGTAGAATATCGCAGAACCAGGATTTGAACTTGGGTCAGTTTAGGTCCAGAGCTGAGCTCTTAAATGCCAGACTGCTGCCTCTGCTTATTGCTAATAACTGAACTTCGGACAGATGCCTCACCACTGATTGTGACATGCCAAGGAGTTTTGACTTGGCTGAAACTCACTGGTCTAAAAGTCTGTGCTCTCTTCTGGCCCAGAAGACCAATGAGCCAACAGCTTCTGGTGCAGATGTCTCCTGCCCACCCGGGAACCCTTCATTCTTTGCTGACTCTTGACAAATATTTATTGAGTGGTAGCTATAAATAGTAGTCTTTTATTGAGCACTTAGGTGCTGTGAACCATGCTAAATGTTTTACCCATATTAACCCTCTTAATTCTTGCAACCTGCCTTTGCAGTAAGTATGATTTTTATCATCCCAGTTTTACAGCTGGGAAAACTGAGGGTTGGGTTCAGGGGTTAGGTATGGGACTCGCCCAAGGTCGCACAGTTGGTACATGGCAGCCAGAGCTTTTGTTCTTCACAAACATGAGCTTTGCTGCCCTGGCCAGTGCAGTTTACATGCTAGCAGAGGGGAGAGAGAGGAAGCAGTGAATTGCATAGAGTTATCCCATTACAGCTGTGGTGGAAGGCGAGGAGCACTGTATGTGTATGCCAAGGGACTGGTCTGGGTCTGGGGCTCCGGAGGGCTTCCCTGAGGAGGTGTCTACAGCTGAGCACAGAAGCCAAGTAGGGTATAGGAGAAAGTGCAGCCTGAGGAGAAACATGCTAATGTCCTGTTGGTTGGTTGTGTCCTTTGGTCCTTGAGGTAGTAGCACTTTGAGGCTGGGAGGGCCACCAATGACTACTACATCCTGTTACTAGTGCTGGAAACAGTCCAGGCCCTGGTGGAGCTGAGACTGAAGTGGGCAGACAGATAATAAACAAGATAAATATGCACATATGTAGCATATTAGATGGTGCTGAAAGCTGAAGTGAAACTAAAGCAGAGTTCAGAGGCCAAGGAAACATCTGCAGAGGGGGAGTTGGCGTCACAGCGTGGCCAGGGACAATGAGCAGAGATCTGAAGGAGGTATAGGAGCTGTGTGGATGCTGGGACCAGAGCTCTAGGCAGGGAGCAGCGTGCCCTGAGGCAGGGCCTGTTTGAGGACTGTGGAGGAGACCAAAGGAGGGAGCAGAGGTCAAAAAGGTGACAGGGAGCAGGGGTGCAGGCATTGCAGGCTGCGGGTTCACTTTGTTTTGTACTCTGAGAAGGGAAGTCATTGGAAGAGGGCTTTGAGCGGAGGAGGCACAGGATCTGATGTCGGTTTAATGGGATCCCTCTGGCTGCTGTGTTGAGAATAGATTGAAAGAGGAAGGGGCAGAGTAGGAGGCCCGTGAGATGAGAGGTGACAGTGACTCGGGTTAAGGGTGGAAACAGTTGCCAGGGGCAGAAGGAGATGGATTCTGGACATATGAAGAGGTAAAGCCCACTGGGATTTGTGGATGGGCTGGATGTGGGGTGTGAGAGGAATCAAAGACGCTGCCTAGTTTTCTGCTTGAGCAGCCGGACAAGTGGGGTTGCAGGCTTTGGAGGGTAGATCTCAGTTCCATTTAGGACATGTTAAGTTTTTGATGCCTTCTAGACATGCAAGATGTCAAGGAGGCAGCTGGAAACAAGAGTCTAGGGTTCAGGGCAGGTCTAGGCTAGAGATACAAATTTGAAAGCTCCACGACTGTAAGATCACCATGGGAATGAATAAGTGGGTATGAGGTCCGAGGACAGCCCTGGAGTTCTTCAGTGGGAGAGCTCAGGGAGATGCACAGAAACCACAAAGTGGCCAGTGAGGTGGGAGGAAAACCAGGAGAATGTGGTGTCCTAGACGCAAAAGAAGAAAGTGTTTAAATGTTTCTAGGAGTAGGAAGTGATCAATGGTGTTAGATACTCCTTTTAGGCCAAGTAAGATGAGGACTGGTAATTGACCATTGGATTTAGCAGTGTAGAGGTCATTGTGGCCCCTTGAAAAGAATAGATGAAGGCAGTGTGGCCCAGAGATGTGGCTTGACCAGAGGCTTGGGGCCCCCCGCCCAGCGGCCGTTCCCCTCCCTGCCCTGCTCATGGCATCCTGCTCTCCCTTTCCTCCCCGTACCCCCAGACCCGTGCTTGCCTGGGGCGAGTCAGGGCTCTTCTGTCAGCTGGGCCCCTTCTGGGCCCTGGGAGGCCGCCACTGGAGCCCTGCCTCTTCCTGGCAGGGAGCATCGAGTACAGCTGTCCGGCCTCCAATGAGTGTGAGATCACCAAGCGGAGACGCAAGGCCTGCCAGGCCTGCCGCTTCACCAAGTGCCTGCGGGTGGGCATGCTCAAGGAGGGTGAGCGCTGGGCAGGGGTCCGAGGGGCTGGGTGCACGGGGCCGGGTGGGGCAGAGCCTGGGAAGTTCTGGTGAATGCACTGGGAAGGACAGTGCTGCAGAACAAGCCCATCCCAGCCCCATGGACACAGTCCTTTCCTGCAATTCAAGGGGTGCGCCTGGACCGCGTCCGGGGTGGGCGACAGAAGTACAAGCGTCGGCCAGAGGTGGACCCACTGCCCTTCCCAGGCCCCTTTCCTGCTGGCCCCCTGGCAGTAGCTGGAGGCCCCAGGAAGACAGGTGAGAACACTGAGGCCCTACAGCTCTAGGGCTGGGGTGGGATTAGGACACGGGAGCCTCTGTGTGTCATCATTCACTCAGCACAGTAGTTATCTTGGGCACCACGACCCAGATTTCCTTCATCTATTCACTTATTCATTTCACCAAGAATTATTTGTGAAAATGCGTTTTCCTGCGTCAGTCATAAAGTAGTACAACTGGGAACAGGGAAGGGTTTTCTAATACCCAGAGCCTGTCCACAAATGGACTGGCTTTCCCTGGGAGATAGTGAGCACTCTTCCTTGGAGAGAGGTGTTTGCCTGGCTGGCCAGTGGCTACTGAGGAAGGTCACAGGGGACTGACTGGGAAGAGGCTTGACCTTGAAGGGCCTGTGGGGCCTGATGGATGAATGCTCCCGACTCGAGTCCTCCAACTGTTGCTGCAGCCCCGGTGAATGCACTGGTGTCTCACCTGCTGGTGGTCGAGCCTGAGAAGCTGTATGCCATGCCTGACCCTGCGGGCCCTGATGGACACCTCCCAGCTGTGGCTACTCTCTGTGACCTCTTTGACCGAGAGATCGTGGTCACCATCAGCTGGGCCAAGAGTATCCCAGGTAAAGGACCCAGGAGACCTGGGGCTTCCCTGAATAGCCAGGCCATGCCTGGTTCTGTTGCATTTGCTCAGCCAGGCCTGCCCCCCACTGCCCTCCAGGCTTCTCGTCACTGTCGCTGTCTGACCAGATGTCAGTACTGCAGAGCGTGTGGATGGAGGTACTGGTGTTGGGTGTGGCCCAGCGCTCACTGCCACTTCAGGATGAGCTGGCCTTTGCTGAGGACCTGGTCCTGGATGAAGAGGGGGCACGGGCAGCTGGCCTGGGGGAACTGGGGGCAGCCCTGCTGCAACTGGTGCGGCGACTACAGGCCCTACGGCTGGAGCGAGAGGAGTATGTCCTGCTGAAGGCCTTGGCCCTTGCAAATTCGGGTGAGAGTCTGGGGCAGGCACTGACAGATCTCTCCATAAGACCCTCCAGTTTTTAACTCTATGATGGTGGCACAGTCCCACTTTGCAGATAAGGAAAACTGAGGCTTAGGTAAGAAAAATGACTTGCCGAAAGTCACAAAGCAAGCCAAGGGCAGCCCTGAACTGCACACAGAATTTTGAGCCCTAGTACCATGCTAATGTGGAAAGGTAAAGAGTTTAGTGGGGGGAGGGTGGGGAGGACAAGAGGTGGCCATAGTTGAGGGAGAAAGAAAGCCTGCCCTGGCTTATGGGCAGGAGCCATGAGTAGTGCCCTTCAGTCAGCCAATCGACAAATCCACTTGGCTCATCTTTAGGACCCATCTGGCAGGGCCCAAGCAGATGTGGGTTCTACCCTTTCCAGAGATGGCCCAGGCCAACAGTTCTCCCTTTCTGGTTATAGACTCCGTGCACATCGAAGATGCTGAGGCTGTGGAGCAGCTGCGAGAAGCCCTGCACGAGGCCCTGCTGGAGTATGAAGCTGGCCGGGCCGGCCCTGGAGGAGGTGCTGAGCGGCGGCGGGCAGGCAGGCTGCTGCTCACGTTACCACTCCTCCGTCAGACAGCGGGCAAAGTGCTGGCCCATTTCTATGGGGTGAAGCTGGAGGGCAAGGTGCCCATGCACAAGCTGTTCTTGGAAATGCTTGAGGCCATGATGGACTGAGGCAAGGGGTGGGACAAGTGGGGGTGCTGGCAGGACCTGCCCAGCAGGGGGTCAGCCCCAAGGGGGCAGAGCTGGGGTCTGGGCAGAGCCACAGCCTGCTGGCAGGGCCAGGGCAATGCCATTGGCCCCTGGGAGCAGGCCCCACGCCCTCCCCTCCCCACTCAGGGGTGTCAGAAGCTGGAAACGTGTGTGCCCAGGCTCTGGGCAGTGCTGCCCCTTGCAAGCCATAACGTGCCCCCAGAGTGTAGGGGGCCTTGCGGAAGCCATAGGGGGCTGCAGGGGATGTGTGGGAGGCAGAAGCCTGATCTCAGGGAGGGAAGGGGATGGAGGCCACAGTCTCCCAATGGGTGATGCTTTTGCTGCTGCTTAATCCGACCCCCTCTCCTGAGCAGAGGGGGACTTGGAGAGCAAAGGCCCCTGCCCCCTTCGCTCCTCTCCTCATCATTTGCATTGGGCATTAGTGCCCCCCCCCTTGAAGCAATAACTCCAAGCAGGCTCCAGCCCCTGGACCTCTGGGGTGGCCAGGGTCCCCCATCAGCTCCCACCCAGCCTTCTCAGGGGGTGGGGAGAGCACTGCCTCTATGCCCTGCAGAGCAATAACACTATATTTATTTTTGGGTTTGGCCAGGGAGGCGCAGGGACATGGGGCAAGCCAGGGCCCAGAGCTCTTGGCTGTACAGAGACTCTATTTTAATGTATATTTGCTGCAAAGAAAAACCGCTTTTGGTTTTGAACCTTTAATGAGAAAAAAATATATACTATAGAGCTCCAGAACACTGTGTTCTGTGTCACTGGGTTAAGGGTTCGGAAATACACATAACAGAACTAGTAAACCAGATATACATAAACATATAAACGGTCACAGAATGAAAAAGTGATGCCCGGCATAATTAAGTCTCGGTTTCTTCATCACTCAGCAGCATGTTGGGGATCCCGCGGCTGATGGGGAACAGACGTCCAGACGCTGGGCATTGCAGAGTGCCCTCCAACACATCCACCTGCAGCGGGGAGGGGGTTGGGAGAACAGAGCTGAGCAGCGGCGGCCTCTGCGGGACGCAGGTGGTCGGGGAAACAAGTGATGGGCCGGTTCTCACCTCCAGCAGCACGTGGTGCATATTCCTCAAAAATTTCTCATCACGCTCATACCCTTCAATCGGTTCTTTGGGCACGTCGACCAGGTGCAGCTGTGGGCAATAGGCTTAAATCATTTCTGGACACGCCCGAACCCCAGCCTCAAGCCGGGCTCCAGGGATGCCCGGTACACAGGGCTGCGGTGAGCCCGCCCCCCTCCTTCCAGGGGTATGCACGGGCGGGGGAGGGGCCTTACGGTCTGGGCCGCCTCCAGAAGCGCCGCCCACTCCACCTTAGGTATCATACGCGCCACGAAGTCCGCGTTGAACTCCACAGGTCTGATGCAGACTTCGGTGGCCTGCGGGGCGAGGGGGCTTAGTTAGGCAGGGACCAGACCCTGGCTCCTCTATCCTGCTCGGGAGAGGGGCAAAGAACCGTCCGCGATTAGTACCTGGAGGCGCAGGGGGAAGCCACGGGCCCCCACCCCCCTCACATGGGAGCTCAGGAGGTTGTGAGTGAGCAGCTTCATGTCGCCACACGAGCTCTCGACAGGGCGGAACCGGAAGACGCTGCCCCTCTCTGGCGTCACTTCCGGGGCCACTCCGTTCTATGCTATTGGACGGCCAGAGGACCGGAAGTGGTGAACTTCCTGGAACTTCGGCTTGAGGAGCGGAGGTATGTGAGAGACTCGGGAGGGTCACGCGCTGCTACCGGAAGCGTCTTGGCGGGAGGTTGCTGCGGCGCACGCCCAGAGGTTTTGGCTGAGCGAAAGCCCACTGGTACGAATTCTACGTAAGATGCAAATCATATGTAAAAGAGCTGCAATGCAGGGGTCCTGGCTGAATAGAAAGTAAACATGTTTTTAATCCTACACAAGCGCCTGACGCTATTGTCTTCCACCTCTCTCTTTCGGTAGAGGAACGGAAACACTGTCCAATCCGTAAATTAGGCCCATCAAAACAGCGGCACCTCCTGCTTGTATGTAAATTAGTTCCACTGCCGCTGAAGCCTCCGCCCCATTTGTAATTGCCTCACTGACCCAGCCCCTAATGCAAATAAGCCTAGAACCCGGAAGCTCCGTCCGGGCCCTTTGCAGCCTGCGCCTGCGCAGTGGAGGAGGCTGGCCGGGGGCCTGCGCTGTCGAGGCCCCGCCTGTTGCTCGGTCCCGCGGCTGCGCTTCGCGCCAGGTCCCGCCTCCTGGGGCGGCTCCGGCCGGGGGGGCGGGGTGGTTGCGCTCGGGGCGGGCATGGGGCTGGCGGTGCTGTACGTCCTGGGCCGTCGAGCGGGCTCCGGACTCACTCGTGCGGCCGCCCTTGAGTTTGCGGTAGCTGCGGCGGCAGCGAGGCGACGACTTGAAGTAGAAGGAGGGTGGGCGCTTGGCGGGGCCCGCAGTTTCAGCAGCGCCACCGCAGCCATGGCCCGGATCAAGGTGACAGCTGACCCTCCCCACCCTCCGATTCCTCCCAAATTCCCCAAGGCCTCCCCGCCACCCCCGTCCCGCTCGTCGGGGGTTGTCGCCGTCTTTTCTGCCCTCCAGACCCGTCCCCGCCGCCCCAGCGCCCCCTCCTGTGGTCTGTCCCTCCCGTCTCCTCAGCAAGACCCCATGGCTGCCCCACAGTTTTCGCCAGTTTTGGGGGCCTCGTGCCTCCTTGCCTCGTCTGCCCTCACATCCACCCTGCGACACTCTGCGACGGGTCTCCACCGTTTTCAGGCGATTGAATATCATGCATCCCCACCTTCTGGAACCATCTCCTTTGCCCCAGGAGAACCATCTCCTTTTCAACCCCCTTACGTGTCCCTCATGCTTTTGTGATAGTACTGGGCATCACTCCACCCCATCTGAAACTGTTGTCCCTTCCCCCGTTGGTGTCCTCTTCATTCTACTCCATGACATTCTCCCCTCCTCCCGTGGCTAGTTCTCACCCTTACGCTGAGTCTCTCTCCCTTCTGGAACCATCCCCTGCTCCTTGGACCTTCCCCCATTTCCCCCCACACTCTTCTGAGACTCCCCTCCACCTTCTCCATCCTACTCCCAACCTCTGGGCCCCTCCAAGACTCTCCCGCCTCTGACCCTCCTTCCTTTCTGGCTGCCTCCTCTGGCCCTATGAAGTCTTCACTCTTCCAGGTAGGCTGATCATTCCTGCTTGAAGAGATTCCTTATGTTATACCCCACCTGGGCATAGGAGCCAGGACACCCTTCCCTAACTGCCCACATGCTGCTGCCCTCCCTCTTTCTCTTGGTGAGGGTGGGACACTCAGACTTGGCCAGGATCCTCTCCCTCCGTGATGTCAGGGTCTCCTTCTCATCCCCATGTACATACAGCCCTCTGTCCCCTCCCTCTGCCCATTTATCCCACTCCTTTCCTGTAACTTAGGCAGCTGTTTACGCAACCCTTTGAGACACTTAAGGAGGCCTTTTCTCTGTTGTCACCAACTGACCCTTACGAGGAGCAGGGCCACCCTGAAACCTGGAGGGTGTGGTGGCAGAGAGGGGAGGGGATAGGGAGGAACCCTTGGAAACTCTGACACGGCTGGAGCTTCTTGCTGGTGCCAGCAGGCGCAGCTACCAGGCTCTGACTCTGGTTCTCCCCTCTCCCTTCGCCCCCCCCTTACCTTGGAGTCATTCCCTCTAGGTGGGAGATGCCATCCCCGCTGTGGAGGTGTTTGAAGGGGAGCCAGGGAAAAAGGTGAACCTGGCAGAGCTGTTTAAGGGCAAGAAGGGTGTGCTGTTTGGAGTTCCTGGGGCCTTTACCCCTGGCTGTTCCAAGGTGAGGCCCTCCCCCTCTGAGGATCAGGAATTGGGATCTTTTGTATTGTTCTTAAGTCCTCCACATAGTCCTGAGTATGTAGATGATTCGACAGTTAAAAAGCATTTCAGTAGGGCCGGCCCCGTGGCTCACTTGGGAGAGTGCGGTGCTGATAACACCAAGGGTTAAGATCCCCTTCCTTACCAGTAATCTTATTTAAAAAAAAAAGAAAAAAAAAAAAGCATTTCAGTGCCTCCAAAAATAAGTAGAGGCTGTGAAAAAATAGTATCAGGAACAGAATGAAAAAGATGTTGCAGGGCCGGCCTGGTGGCGCACTGCTGCAGTGCTCCGCTTGGGAAGTGCGGTGGCGCTCCCGCCAAGGGTTCGGATCCCACATACAGACCGGCCGCTCACTGGCTGAGCGAGGTGCGGGAGCAACACCGAGGGTTGCGATCCCGTAGCCGGTCCTGGTCCGGTACGGGCGCGACACTGAGGGTTGCGATCCATTGCCGGTCACGAAAAAAAGACAAAAAGGAAAAAAAAAAAAAAAGATGTTGCAATTAAATCCAGCACCGCTAATTGATCCTGCTGGATGACAGGCACTGTGGAAGGTACTTGGGACTTGGGTAACTAAGACATATAGTCCTGCCTATGAGAAGTACATGGTCTTAACATGAACAGGATAAATTTGGATCTGAGCTTCCTAGTAGCCAAGGCAAAAAGAAAACAATGTTTTTCACAGTTCTCATTGTGCAATCAGTGATGTTGAGGCAGGGGTGTAAGGAGTCCTGGAGGTGAAGGGTGGGCTGAGGAGCACATGCAATTATTCTTTTGTTGGCCCTTTATTTCCTTTTCTCAGACGCACCTGCCAGGGTTTGTGGAGCAGGCTGGGACTCTGAAGGACAAGGGGGTCCAGGTGGTGGCATGTCTGAGTGTTAACGATGTCTTTGTGACCAGCGAGTGGGGACGAGCTCACAAGGCAGAAGGCAAGGTAAGGCATGGGGCCTGCAGGGGGTCAGTGCCTGGTAGGAAATTTTTCTTTTTTTTTTCTGACCGGTAAGGGGATCACAACCCTCAGCGTGGTGTTGTCTGTGCTGCGCTCAGCCAGGGAGCGCACCGGCCATCCCTATATAGGATCCGAACCCGCGGCCTTGGCGCTAGCAGCACCACACTCTCCCGAGTGAGCCACAGGGCCGGCCCCGAAATTTTTCTTTGTGACCTTTACTTTCTGTTTTCTCAGGTTCGGCTCCTGGCTGACCCCACTGGAGCCTTTGGGAAGGTGAGTGCCCCTGCGGGGTGGTTCTTGTACCAGACCTTAGAAGCAGGGACTGGGAGGGCCAATGCAGTGTGGAGAGCAGCCTGGAGGGCTTGGCCTATTTTGGGAGCTCCTGACGCTTTTCTCCGTCTCTCTTCTCAGGAGACAGATTTATTATTAGATGACTCATTGGTGTCCCTCTTTGGGAATCGAAGGCTCAAAAGGTAAAGGTGGGAGGGCCCTCCATGGGCATGTCCCTGGGGCCCTGGCTCCTGCCTCCTCTCCTGTCTCCATTGCCAGCCTCCAGCCCCAGGCTGATATAGCTGGCTGGCCTCTCTTCCTGACAGGTTCTCCATGGTGATAGAGAATGGCATAGTGAAGGCCCTGAACGTGGAGCCAGATGGCACAGGCCTTACCTGCAGCCTGGCCCCCAGCATCATCTCGCAACTCTGAGGCCCTGAGCCCAGACTACATCTACCCTTTCCTATCTCACCTGCCTAGCCCTGGGGCCTGGGGCCATCCAGTTGGAACTTTGGCCAGATTTCTACAATAAACCCTCTGGTTCACGTCTGTCTCCTTGGTTTTGAATTGCTGCTGCTCTGAGGGCCAGGCCTCATGCCATAGTCATAGGATAAACTGAGAGCTGCGAGGGTAGCAGGCAGGGGCTGAAGAAGAGAATATAGGGGATCCTGAATTAAGTGGGGGTCAGGGAAGGCCTCTTGAAGGAGGTGTTCTGAACATCAGTCTGGAGGCTGGGAAGGACCCAGTGGTCTGAAGAGCCAGGGGAGGAGCTGTCCATGCAGAGCAAGCACACAGGGAAGGCCCAGGCAGACACGAGTGTTGTGCACACCGTGACCTTTTGTGCTTATCTTTGGGTGTAGGCCAGAAACCCCAGGGTAGGAATCTTGGCTCTAGTAACCCCCCACCAGGGCTGAGCTCTAGCCCCCCCATCCTTTCATATGTGAACCCCTTCTGGGAGCACTCTTGTTGCAGGAAGGGCTGCAGGCACCTTGGGACTATCTGACTGGCAGAAGTGGCTCCACTGGTGTAGGCAGCACTGGTCCAGTCCAGGAGGGCTCCCTCAGGGAGGAGTCTGTAGGTGAACTGTGGAGGGAAGATCTGGTGAGGCCTGGCCAGTAGTGGGTGGGAGTGAGGGGCTGGGAGCCAGGAGACCAGCAGGGTATGGGGCTGGGGACCTGTGCTCCTTGGCCCTGGGAAGCCATGTTCATGGCAGCAGGCAGTGATTACCAGGTCCCTGCTAAGTTTAGGAGCTTGTAGTCTAGAGAGACAGACACTGGCAGAGCACATACTATATGCCAGGCACAGTGCCATGGGCTTCAGGGGTGGTAATGACCCTCCACAACCCAGTGAGGTGTGCATTGTTACTGCCCCTCCGCCACTTAGGGGGCGTCTGGATTTGAGCCTGTGCTTTTGCCACAATGTGGTGCTGTCCTGCTGTGTGCCTTCCGGCCTGGTGGTGACCAGGGCTCAGCCCACAGAGCTGGCCAGGGCAGGCTGCACTCACTGGGAGGTCTGGGAGAAGGTCAAGGAAAGGTGTCTAAGAGGAAATGACCCTAAGGCAGTGGGAGTGGTGCTCCTGGCAGAGGGGACAGCATGGCTGTAGGTATGGAGGGGTGGGACAGCCCAAACTGCTGCAGCACATGGGGAAGCAAAGAGGTGAGGGTGGCTGGGATGAGAGAGGATGCTGGGAGGTCAGCAGGGCCCTTTAAGCCGATAAGCGGCTTGCCTCCACCCTGTGGGTACCTTGGCCACTGAAGGATTTCCACAGGGCAGTGACAGGTTGGATTCATACCTGAGCTACTGCGGGCAGCTTGGCGAGCTGGGGGCAGAGAGAGGCTCTGGGGGGTAGTGTAGGGAAGGGTCAGTGATCAGAGTAATGTCCAAGAGGTGGGGGCTGCAATGTATTAGGAAGGAGGGTGAGTCCTGGGGCCCACCCAGCTAAAAGCATGCTGGGGTGGGTGGTTATGGTGGTGACCATGTGGATGGGGCACTCGGGAGGAGGGGAACCAGGTGCTCAGCTTGGCTGACTTGTCCCACAACCTCCCACCCTTCAGGGATTCTGGGCGGGGGCAGGGCAGGGGGTTGACACCTCTCTAGTTTCCCTGGTGGCCTGCTGACCGTCCCTCCTCCCACTGCCAAACTCTGGATCACGTTGTTATTGCCATGAGGGCCGTGGCATAAAGGCCGTCTCTCTCCCAGATACCAGCTCTCAATCTTCTCATTGTACGTGTGAGGGACTGAGGTGTAGAGCTTCCCGCAAGGGCAGCTGGGAGCCTCAGTCAGCGTGGGCAAAGGTGGGGGTGTGTAAAACAGCCCACCCCACTGCCCCATTCCTCTTCCCTGCGACCCTGTGCTACCCTGGCTGCTCCCTGCTGTCAGGGAAGCCATCTTCGTCACAGTGGGATGGACCAGAGGGCCTTGGAGCCTGGGGGCTGCACCTGGCACAGTGGCAGGTGTGGCCTTCCTGGGCCTTTGGTGGACAAAAGCCAATGTTATAAGACTAACTAAACAAACAAAATAACCTGAAACTTCCACCCAATACATGCCCAAATACAACTCCCTCACCTGTCCCAACCTGCCCAAGGCCACAGCCATTCCAACCCAGGAGGCTGAGGGTTTTACTTGGCATCAGCAGTTCTGCCCCTTCCTGGGTCAAGAGTCCCCTTTTTTTTTTTTTTTTTTTTAAAGATGACCGGTAAGGGGATCTTAACCCTTGACTCGGTGTTCTCAGCACCATGCTCACCAGTGAGCAAACCGGCCATCCCTATATGGGATCCGAACCCGCGGCCTTGGTGTTATCAGCACCACACTCTCCCGAGTGAGCCACGGGCCAGCCCTGTTCAGCAGCATTTCAAAGCGACTCTTAGGGCCGGCCCGTGGCTCACTCGGGAGAGTGTGATGCTGATAACACCAAGGCCGCGGGTTCGGATCCCATATAGGGATGGCCAGTTTGCTCACTGGCTGAGCGTGGTGCTGACAACACCAAGTCAAGGGTTAAGATCCCCTTACCGGTCATCTTTATAAAAAAAAAAAAAAAGAAATGCTGCTGAACAGATCTCCACATGGTCTTCAAGGGTTTTGAGGAATCCCTGGCATCCTTCCAAGAATCCCAAATGACCTCTGCCCCCCACCTGGGAGGCATCGTCTCAAGGTGGGTTCACTGAGCTTTGAACTCAGAACACCAGAGTGTGAATCCCAACCTGCTACCGAGAAGCTGGATGACCTTGGACAGGCTATTTAGTTTTCCTTGACCTCACTTCCCTACTCTCTGAAGTGGGAATAACTCACAGGGTTGTTATGGGGAATGAATGAGACAATTTCTGCAAAGTATTTGGCACTACGCCTAGCACACTTAATACATAAGTGCTCGATAAATGGTTATTAAAAAATAAAAAGAATCCGTATTCTCCACTGTGTAGCCTGTTTGGCCACACAGGCATTGAGGAGCGACGGCAGAGAGAGAAAGTGCGTACTTGTGTGCACCTGTGTATGTTTGCGTAACTTCTAGAGAAGTTTGGGTAACATCTCTGTGAATGCACAGATTCTTGGTGTTTGAAACATGCATATCAGTCTGCCATGTTATTTATATTTGTACCACCTCTCCCTGCTTGAGCTGGGAATCGTGTCTTTTTACTTAACACAGGTAAGGTGCTCTGCTCAGGGTAGGGAACACAGGAAATACTCAACACATGTTTCAGAAAGAAGTAAAGAAGTGAAGGAAGGCAGGGAAGGAGGAAGCTGTCCTTTCCCCAGCTTCCTGGACATTGGCTCCCATTGTTTCAGCATAAACTTGACCACAGTGGGTCTGACTTAGATCTAGATATACTTGAGAGTGACATAAATCCCTAAATACCAGTGACTTAAGACAGAGGTGTAACTCACAGATATGCAGCAGAAAGTTGACAATCTGGGCCAGTATGGCAGCAGCACGATTACTGGGGACCCATGCTCCTTCTATCTTGCTGCTCTGCCATTTTAAACGTGTCTTTACCTTATGATTCAGTTCGGCTGCTTGAGCTCCAGCCATCACATCCATAGTCCAGCCAGCAGGAAGGAAGAAATGGGGAACAGATAAAAGGCCCATGCTAGTTGTCTTTTAAGAAGGTTTTCTGGAAGCTGCCATATATTACTTCCACTTACGTCTCATTAGATAGGACTTAGTCACACAGTATTACTAATTGCAAGAGAGGCTGGGAAATACCAACTTTATTCCAAGCTGCCATATGTCTAAGTAAAAAAACAGGGGTTCTATTACTAAAGGAGAGAGGAGGAAAGGATATTGGGTGGAGAACAAGCAGTGTGGGCCACATGGGGGGCTCACCTTTGAGAAGAGGGACTTTTGGGAGCTCTGTGGCCTCCCAAGGAATGATGTCATTTCCCTGGTGTCCCCATCAGCCTGGGAGGGGCGATGTACTAAGCTGTCCCAGATCCCTCTGTGGTCTCATCTCCCCAGTGACCCCTCTCCAAGACTCCATCCCTGTTCCCTGCAACCCTGATCTCCAGTCACCCCAATTTCCCAGCCATGGGCCCTCCAAGCTCCTCCCCTCCAGCATCTTCCAGACAATGTTCACCACCTGCATTGCCCCTTCCTTTCCTACTCCTGCCTAAACTGCTCCAACCTTCAAGGCCCCTAGTCAGTCCCATTTGCTGAGGACAATAGTCTTTGTTCTTGGTTCCTTCTTCCTGGTCCCTTCTGTTCAGCTTCATCAAAGATTGATTTTTCAAGTTGACGTATAAATCACATATCATAAAATTTTACCCTTTAAAAGTGTGGAGTTCAGTGGTTTTTAACATATTGACCAAGTTGTGCAACCATCACCACTATAAAGACAGATTTTTTTTTTTTTGGCAGCTGGCCGGTACCGGGAACTGAGCCTTTGACCTTGGTGTTACAAGTCTGCGCTCTAGCCAGCTGAGCTAACTGGCCAGTCCTAGAGAAAGATTTTTTTTTCAGAGGTGGATTTTAATCTCAGTAACTTCTCTCCAAACGAAGCTGCTTCTCTCTCTTTTTTTTATTTTTATTTTTATTTTTTTATTTATTTTATTTATTTATTTTTTGCTTCTCTCTTTTAAACATTGCAATCCTTACCTAGTTATGAAGGGCACATTCAGATGTTCGGGCGTTCTGCTTGCTTGCCTGCGTCCCCCCACAGTCACATAAGGTGTCTTGCCTTCAGTGGCTGTTTGCTGAGACTCATCTCTGTGCCAGGCACTGTGCTGGGCTCCAGAAACGCAGCGTTGAATATAGCAGGCAAAGCAGTGAATATGCCCTGTGAGCACCTGCTGGGAAAGGTGTTCCAGGAGGTGGGAACAGCCTGTGCTAAGACTTAAATGTGAGGACAGTGAGGGAGGTCTGGGCTGAGCAGTAGTAAGGACAGAGTTGGGATATGGCCCACAAGCTGAAGTTCAGAGGGGTTCTCTTGGTGGACATCTGGGTGTCTCCAGACTTTGGTTGGTGGTGGCTTCAGAGACATTTCTATATTTGTTTGCTTTTGGCCTCCTTCCTTGGGGCGTGTTCCTAAATGCCAAAGTGCTGGGTCAAAGGAC